TACAATTTTTTTTTCTTCTCCAGACAGGCTCTCCCTCTGTCCCCCAGGCCAGAGTGCAGTGGCGCAATCTCAGCTCACTGCAACCTCCGCCTCCCAGGTTCAAGTGCTTTCCATGCCTTAGCCACCTGAATAGCTGGGATTACAGGCATGCACCACCACGTCCAGCTAATTTTTATTATTTTTAGTAGAGACGGGGGTTTCGCCATGTTGACTACGGTGGTCCTGAACTCCTGGTCTCATGTGATCCACCCACCCTGGCCTCCCGAAATGCTGGGATGATAGGTGTGAGTCACCACATCCAGTTGAAAAAAATTTTTTTTTTTTTTTAAACAGAGAAAGGGTTTCTCCCTGTTGCCCAGGCTGGTCTTGAACTCCTGGGCTCCGGTGATCCTCCCATCTCGACCTCCCAAAGTGTTGGGATTACTAGTGTGAGCTGCTGACCCAGCCCTCTACAAAATAAATACATTTTTTAATTAGCTAGGTGGTCCCAGCTGCTCACAAGGCTGAGGTGGGAGGATCACTTGAGCCCAGAAGTTCAAGGCTACAGTGTGTTATGACTGCACCACTGCACTCCAGTGCACTCACTTTTCTTAAGAGTGAGACCCGGTCTTAAAAAAAAAAAAAATTGTAGAGATGAAGAACAGATTGCTGATTCCCAGGCTTAAGGAAGGTGCATGTCTCAAAACTGCACAGAACTACACACACACACGTGCGTGTAAAGCCAGTGGAATCTGACGAGGATCTGTGGATGGCACCCACGTCGGCTTCCTAGGTCTGATGCGGCACCATGGGCGGGTGGGACAGTACCCCCGGGGTGGCTGGGTTGGGGGTGGCTGGGCTGGGGGTGGCCGGACTGCAGGTGGCTGGACTGCGGGTAGCTGGGTGAGAGGCGAACACTCTGCCACTTCCCGTGAATCCCGAATGACTTCAGAATAAAAAACGGATCAACTTCAAGGACGAGGGCTCAAGAGAGTAACAGAAAATTCACCAAAAAGCCATTCACAGGGTCAACCCCCTTCCAAAAAGACCACCACCCTCTATTCATCAAATGAGTGGCAGGCAAAAGGACATGAGCTTTGTCACCTATTAAATGAGAGACGCCACGCTGTCACCACGTTGGCCAGGCTGGTCTCACACTCCTGGCCCCAGGTAATCCTCTCGCCTCTCGCCTCAACCTCCAGAAGTGCTGGGATTACAGGCATGAGCCACCGCACCCGACCTCACAAGGGACGTTTTCAATGTGAAAACACATCCACGGACCTAGCAGTCCCACTCCCAGACACGCGCCCGGAGGAAATAACTCGTGCGCCGGGTTCCTCCAGTGTTTTCTCTCAATCAGAATCCGCAGGTGCCGTTCTGTGGATTTTCACTCTGAGCGTGTGTCAAACTTACGATCACACGGACAGAGAAAGCGACCAGGAAATGAAAACTAGGAAAGAACTTTCCTTTCGTCTGTCAATTAGCAATTTCCTGGTGTCTCTCATGGCCTCAGATCCTGTCTTTTTTGGCAGAAGATGAGCTGTCACTCAGGGACCTGTGCCTGAGGGTTTCCAAAAATGGGAGGCGGTGGGCAGGAGAAGGCGTACAAAAATTATTTCCGTTTTAAATGTCTTCCAATCCAGACAACCAGAAAATCTTGGTTTCCTATTCATTCATCTCTAATGCCTTTTTTGCTTTGTTTTTGTTTTGAGACAGGGTCTGGCTCTGTCACCCAGGCTGCAGACCAGTGGCGTGATCTCAGCTCACTGCCACCTCTGCCTCCCAGGCTCCAGCAATCCTCCTGCCTCAGCCTCCCAAGTAGGTGGGACCACAAGTGTGCGCCACCATGCCCAGCTAAGTTTTGTATTTTTAGTAGAGATGGGGTTTTGCTGTGTTACCCAGGCTGGTCTCGAACTCCTGAGCTCAAGCGATCCTTCTGCCTTGGTCCCCCAAAGTGCTGGGATTATAGGCAGAACCACTGTGTCCCGCCCTTTTCTGTTTGTTTGAATTGGGGTCTCACAATCACCCACGCAGGAGTGGAGTGGCTCAATCACAGCTCACTGCAGCCTTGACCTCCTGGCCTCAAGTGATCCTCCTGCCTTGGCCTCCCAAAGTGTTGGGATTAAAGGCGTAAGCCACCTCCCCCAGTACCAAACTCCTCTCTCGACACCAATTTTTACGTATTGATAAATATCGAAGAACAGGTAGACCTTCACAGGGTAAAGCTTATGTCTAATTAATTTTCAGGGACACCTTTCACCTGGGTTTCTGCTTCTCAAATCTAAAGATTCCTTGCAAATGAATTTAAGAAAAGCAAAGTGAAGCCGGGCGCGGTGGCTCAAGCCTGTAATCCCAGCACTTTGGGAGGCCGAGACGGGCGGATCACAAGGTCAGGATATCGAGACCATCCTGGCTAACACGGTGAAACCCCGTCTCTACTAAAAAATAAAAAAACTAGCCGGGGGGAGGTGGCGGGCGCCTGTAGTCCCAGCTACTCGGGAGGCTGAGGCAGGAGAATGGCGTAAACCCGGGAGGTGGAGCTTGCAGTGAGCTGAGATCCGGCCACTGCACTCCAGCCTGGGCGACAGAGCGAGACTCCGTCTCAAAAAAAAAAAAAAAAAGAAAAGAAAAGCGACTTAAAAAGGGTGCTAGAATAGGACGCATGAGGAAGGGGCCAAGGTGGAGAACGCGGCTGGGGGACCCCATCAGCGCTGGGGACTCCTGGCGAAGGGCGGGGTCCCTGAAGCCAACTGGGCCCCGCCTGGAAGGAAGCTGCACCCACTGTTCCAGCAAGAAGCCAAGGTTTGGGAAGGGATCCCACAGCTCCGGGGCTCCATCCTGCTAATGAGCCCCAAACTCCTCTCTCCCCGGGTCCTTAGAGAGGAAAAGCCGGGAGAGGGGAAATGAGTTACTGCAGCTCCCGGCCCTGCCGGGATCCCTCCGCCGCTCGCACCCACGGACTGGCTGAACCTGACGAGGGAACAGAACAGGAGCCCATCTTGCGGGAAGGGCCGCACCTGTGGGCCTGGGGGAGTGGAGGCAGTGATGAGGGTGCCACCAACTCAGGCCTTGAGGCTCTGCATCCTGCACCACCCCAGGCTCAGGCAGGCGTTAATACACGGACTGAACTGGGAGGGGTCACCCCGCTGTGTCCAGGAGCTGGGGGGTCCTGCACTGCAGCAGCCACATCACGTCCCTCGAAGGCAAGAAATGCAACATACTGGGCCTCACTGGGCCCTCCGCAGCCTCCCTGATGTGTGGGGGCACAAGGCGAGACACTCCCAACCTGCAATATTGGGCAGGGCCAGGGCATGGCACGAGACTCTGTGGGAACCACAGAAAATCAATCTGTAAACATTCACAGCGTTCTTGTTGGGACCGGGCTGGGCGTCCAGGCAGAGGCAATCCCAGAGGGAGCATTCTCAGGACCAGGCGGTCCACACACCACAGCTCTGGCTACCCCGGCACCAGTTTCACAGCTAGGGGTCCGCGCCAGGGCTGAGGGGGTGAGAGAGGACAGGGGATAAGGGAAGACGCATCCCACCCCACCCTCCCCACCAGGGCCTGCTGTAAGCCCAGGCAGAGGCCCAGGAGAATGAGGGTGTATGGCCCTGGTAGCTGCGCCTCCTCCTCCAGGAAGCCCCCAAGGCCTGACCCTCTGTCTCACACAAGGAAGCGTCAGCATGTCCGGTTCCTGGGGCTGTTTCCGGGGGGCTGGCAGGGTGGTGTTTGGGGATTTCCATGCCTCAGGAGCATATTCCGGCCAGCCCTGCGGCCACTTCCTCAGGCAGAGGGGAAGGCCAGTGTGAGGCAGTGGGGGCAGCAAAGCGATGTGTCTCCGTGCGGGGGTACAGGTGCCTAAGTACAGACCCCCCCTTGCCCACCACTCAAAAAACCCCAAGACTCCAGCCAGGGTCCACCCCCGGGGGATTCTGGAGACAACTGTGAGATGGCACTTTCTCCCCAGATCCCAGAGGCAGGACGGACACAGCTTCAGAGGCCCCAATCTCGAGGCCCCCACTCCCCGGAAAGATGCTGATGTCCACAAAGAGACCCGTGGCTCTGAAGCAGCATCGGGGGCACCCACCCCCAGTCTCCCCCATCAAATCCTGTCGACAGCCAGGCTGGGCCACCCAAATGCACATCAGACTAGACCCTCTCTCCATTCACAACCATCCAGGGCTCCCTGCCGCACCTGTAATGAACACAGCGCCTCCTACCCCACCCCACCGGCCGGTCCCACCACAGGGTGTCCGTATGGGCTGTTCCCTCTGCCTGGCAAACTCTTCCTTTCATCCTCCCACGGCCCCTTCCTCTCACCCTCAGGACACCCACTCTGCGGAGACCTTCCTGGGGGGCCCCACCCACGCTCCAGATTGTGATGTGCAGGCCGCCCCCAGACCCTACGTCTCCCTTATCTGTCCCACCCACTGCCATGTCATCAGCGAGGGCGACCCGCTCATCCAGGTCAGCCTGGCATGTTTCTGGTTTCAGCACTGAAAGCCCCAGGTCCCAGGAACTGCCCTTCTGTCCTAGGCAAACCACAATGGCCGGTCACCCTGGTGCTGGAGCCTGCATACAGCCAGCGCCTAATACATGCTTAAATGAAAGCGGTCGAGGCTCACAAGGTGGGTGGAATCCAGTGAGAGCCGGGATCCCACATCACGCCCCTCCAGAGCCTCAGTTTTCCCCTTGTGGATTGACTGGAGACACGGAGGCTCAAGATCCCCACCCACACACAGGCCCAGCTCCAACCCTGGTTCTAAGAGAAAGCCCCACCCACCCCCAGACCCAGGCTCCAGGCGCCGGACGGACAAGGGGACGAGGGGCTCGGGCTCCCAAGGCAGGTCACACAGGCAAGGGCGGCTGATTTCAGGGGTCCTCAGGCTCGCTGCCTGACCTGGCCTCTGTGGCCCCTTCCCTCCTCTGCTGCCCCCAGCCTCCCCTCACCCCATGCACTATCTTCAACAGACCCTCGATCTCCTCACTCCACGAGCACCGGCAGGAAGGCGGGATCCTACCTGAACCTCCGAACTGCGCCCCGGCCAGGGAGGCGGGCCGGCCCTTCCCGTTGGTGACAGGCAGCGGGAACATCTGCAGGGAGGGGAGGAGAGAGGTGAGTGGGGCGGGCAGCAAATCAAACCCTACAGTCCTGGGCTCCAACCCAAGCAGGGAGCAGAGCTGGGGACGTCCAGGGACCTGAGACTGGGCTCCATCTAGGTCCGGCCCGTCCTGCTGTGCCCTCAAGTGACACTGCACCCCGGACACCCACGCCCAGAATGAGAAAACTCCGGACAACGATGACCCCGCTGCCCCGCCAGGCACAGAGTCCCTGCCACTGAAAACCTGCTGTTCCCCCTGCGTTTGCTCTGGGGGGAGCGGTATCCTATTTAGGCAAAGGATGCAACTTATCAGCTCTTGACGGTGATACAATGTTGTCTTTACCTTTCAGCTCTAAAAACTGACAGGTTTACACTCAACAAGGGAACATGTGGAGAGGTCCCTGATGCCTGAGCCCTGGCTGACTCCACGTTTCAGGTGTACGCACTGGCCCTGCATGGCAGGCCCTGGAGCAGGGGGTGGCGCCCACTGTCCCCCTACCAGGGCTGGGTATGGGTTTGCTCGACCAAAGGGGAAGCCGAGGCTCAGACAAGCAGCAGGTCGAGGAAGACACAGAATGGAGCCCGGGGCCCGGCAGGAAGCTGGAGGGGCTGGGCAGAGGCTGCACCCCACCGCTGATCCAGCTCCTGGGTGCCAGGGGTGCGGGACTGCCACCCCCCTCCTGCCCGGCTCACCCGTACCCAGGGCACTAAGTCCCTAAAGATTAACTGGCTCAGCAGCATTAACCGGAAAGCCAACAGCAACAAACCCTTTTGCCACAGAAAAAAACACACGCCTCCGCCCTGCCCCAAGGGGCTGCGTTTTAAAGCTCCCACTGGGGTTCAAGTGATCAAAGTGGCTGGAATCAGGGCCAGGCGGTTTTTGAGGAGCGGCCAAGATCCCCAACACCTTCCCCAGGCGGCCAGCCAGGAGGCGAAGGCACAGCGTCTGTGGCCACAATCCTCCAGTCCAAAGGGGACCCAGGAAGCGGGGTTCTGTCCCCCACTCCCTGGTCCTACAGAAGAGGAAACGGAGGCCACGTTCTCCCCTGGCCCTGGAGAGGAAGAACGGCCTTGCGGGTAGGAGTGGTGCCCAGGCTGCAGGCAGGGTTCGCCCAGGACCGCACCCCCTCCCGCAGGCTCGGGTGTGCCCAGCCTCCCCAGGACCCTGGTTTCCAAGGGCCACCCTCCCATTTGGGAAACAGAGGCCTGCTGTGGGGGACGAGCAGGCCTGGGCGAGCCCGTGGAAGGAGCTGCAGCCCACTGCGTTTTCACCTGCTTTGTCCCCTACGACATCAGCGCTGCACCAAGGTGGCATGGGCCACGGGGTACCGGGCCGTGTCCTCTGGGCTCCGCGGACCTCGTGAGCAGCCCAGAACAGCCCCTGCACCCCTTGGAGCCTCGGTTTCCTCTTCTGAGAAATGGACTCAGGGCTCTGGCTGTGTGGGACGTGGTAAAACCCAAGCTCCCATGGGAGTCTTGCACGCGGCAGGGTCTGGGGAGCTGGCTTCCAACAGCCTTGGTCCCAGGAACTCGCTCCCCCTTCATCCCTGAAGCCCCCGACTCAGGCCCAGGGACTGCCTGGGACCCAGGTAGAGCATGTCAGCCCAGGCCAGCGCCGGCAGGTCCTTCTTTCCCGACAAAGCTAGCCTGGGTTGGGGCAGGACCAAGGCGCGCTGGGAACAGCCTGGGTTAGCGTTCTCCCTCAAGAACCAGAGAACCGAGTCCCCTGTTCTCTCGTTTTACGCGAATCTGGTCCAGGGAAGTGCTTCCCCTTAGGACTCAGTTTCTGGGACGGGGGCAGAGGGCAGGTATGCAGGAACAGAGCAGGGCTGCGGGCAGTCATGGGGGCCGCCTCTGCCTCCCTGTCCTGGCCAGGCAGGTGAAACTCCAGTTCTGGGTAAAGCCAGAGGGGGGACGCCCAGAGAGGACGGGCACCTCGCTGCTCCCAGCCCGTTTCCTCATCTGGGAACAGGGCTGCTGGCTCCGACCTGGGACGGGGAGATGTGCTGAGTGGCTGGAGGTGAGGAGCCAGGTCCTGGGGCTGAACCTGTGCCCCCTCCCCCCAAAACACCGCCGTTCTGTTCCAGCCCAGCGGTCTGTGACTTGTCAGTTTAACAAAAAACAACCCAACTGCACCTCGGGTTACTCAGCCAGGGAGGCAAAAATAAAACGCGGCTTAAAAATACCAGCATGGTCCTTCCGCAGCCTTGGGCCCTCCAGCCTTTGGGCTGTTTTTTTCCACAGGGTGGCCGGTGTTGTTTCAGTTTGGGGACTTTTGTTTTTGACAGACCTCAGGGGCCTGCGCCTCACATGGGGGAGGGTTAAATTCAGACTGAAAGTGCCCTCCTCCAACCTGTTTCAACCCCAAACGCTGCTACTGGGCATGGGGTAGCGGGAGCAGGATTTAAGGACATCTGCAGACAGGCCAGAAGAAACAAACCAAGGTCCCTGGGCTTCTCCAGGAATCCGCAACACACAGCCCCACTGCGACGGCAGGTAAACCGAGGCCCCAGGCCTTCACAGCACCCGGTACCCCAGGGCGCTCCGGCATTCCAGCCTCACTGCACCTGCCTGGGCCCTGTGACTTCTGAGGACCAGCACCCTCTGAGCCTCCATCTACCCAGCTGGAAAATGGGCCTTTCAGGGTCAGACCCAACAACCTGAGACTCTGAGGGAGCCGCCCCACCCTCCCCACCGGGCCTGCCTGCTCCGAGGTGATAACCGTGACAGGCACAATGGTGGCGCTGCCGTCTGCTGAGTGGCCCACAAATTCCCACTCAATCCTAACCCAGCCTCCTCCTGGCCCAAGCCCGGCTCCTGGCATCTTAACTTCAGCACCCACGTGTGACTAATTAAACACACAGTCGGTTTCATGCCCGTGTCCTCTGCCCACCAGGGCAGTCCTGTGTGGGGAAGGTGGTGCCCACCCTGTTCATGCAGGCTTTTCTGCTCAGTAATAGGCACCCCCTCCTTTTTTCCTTGAGGAGTGGTCTTTATCGCCCCGGAGGAAGAGCAGTGGCGCGATCACAGCTCGCCGCAGCCTCCACCTCCAGGGCTCAAGTGATCCTCCTTGCCTCAGCCTCCCGCGTAGCTGGGACCACAGGCATATACCACCTCTATTAGCTAATTTTTTGAGTTTTGTTTTTGCTTTGTTTTGTTTTGGTTTTTTGAGAAACGGGGTCTCACTATGTTGCCTGGGCTGGACTTGGAACTCCCGGCCTCAAGCGATCCTCCCGCCTCAGCCTCCCAAAGTGCTGGAATGACAGGGGGGAACCACTGTGCCCAGCCCCCTTCCAATTATTGAAACAAGGTCTCCAGGGTCTCACTGTCATCCAGGCTGGAGCGCAGTGGCCTTTTACTTAACTTTTAATTTTTGTATCTTCAATGGAGGAAGCGACCCTGATCAGGTCCATTTTACAGATCAGAAGATCAAGGCCGGAGCTGGCTTACCCAGCCAAGCTGGGGGCCCAGGACCACGCCCCTGAGGCCTCAGTTTCCCCATTTGTACAGCAGTGGACTGTAGCATGCTGCGTCCGGGTGAGATCCCCATGGCGCACCCACTGCCTTGCAGTGTCAGCCTCCTGCCAGAGCAACGCACACCCCCAGCCCCACCGGAGCCTCCCATCCAAACAGCTGAGGCTCCATTGCTGACGTATTCAGCAAACACTGTCCCCTGAAAACCTTCCCGTGAACTGTGGGGCAAAGGGGTGTCGGGGGCTGGGCAGGGGTCCTGGCTCACCATGCTGAAGTCCAGGAGGTCACTGAGCTCCTTGTCTGTGCCCACAGGCGCCATCCTCTGCGGCTGGTTCATTCTCCTGGGGCCAGGGCGGGCACCTCAGGCCTGGAAACCCTGCATGGTGGACGTGGGGACAGATGGACAGGGAGAAACAGGGAGGAGAAAAGAGGTGTGAGTGGCCAAAACACAGAGTGGGGAAGCCGCCTAAAAAACCCTCAACTGCCCTGGGGTCTGAGTTCCAGCGGAGCCCTGGGAGCAGGGGCAGGGAAGATGGAATTCCAGAGTCTGGGTCCCCGTAGAGCCCTCCCCAGAGGCCACCGGGAGTCTGAAAAATGGGGGGAGGGTGTGCAAATATAAACTCCCTAACTCCCCCAGAGACCACCAGGGCGTCAAGTTGCCAAGTTTAAACTGCACGCAGGGCAGCCAGAACCTCTCCTTTCCCCACGTCTCTCATTTCCAACCACCCCCGGGTTTCCTCTGAGGCCCCCCTACTCCCCTGGGAAGAGGAGGAACAGCCCGGCCCTACCTCACTCCGAGGGAAATTTGGTGATCCCCCCACCCAGACGTCACAGCCCGTTGAAGACAAGGTCGCCCCCAAATTCGACATGAAGGAAATCCACAAGTCAGAAAACCACGAAACTCTTTTACAAGCTTCACAACTTAAAGTGGGGGGGCGCACTCTATGCAGGGACCAGTAAAGCTTCCCTCCACCCTCAATCTCCCTCCCCCTAAAAAACCCTAACAGTGTTCAAAAAAGAAAAAAAACCACCCTAGGTTGCTTTACTGTCACAATGTATCCGGGAATTATTTTTAAGCAAAACTTTGACAACATCCCTCACCCGCCCTCCCTGAGCGGGGAGAGGGTCCCAAGACCAGGGTGCCCCCGCCATTCTAGAATGGCGGATGGGGGATCCACCTGCCAGGACCCATTCCACCCCCAGAAAAAGGTACAGAGAAAAATCTCCGTCCCAAAGAAATGCACTCCAGGCCCCTCCAGTCTCGACTTTCCCCAGGGGTCCCCAGGTGGGGACGGGGGCAGCCCGGGAGATACCTCCAAGGCTGGGGGTGGGGAGGGGCCTCCGAGGACGAGGGAGACCCAACTTATGCAGCAGAGAAATCCCCTCTTTGTCTGCCAACTGGAGGCCGGGTGTGAAGCGGGCGCCCCAGCGCAGCCCCTCCCCCGCTCAGTTTTTTTCTTTTTTGGAGGGCGTGTGAAACTGACTTTTTTTGAGGACTACGAAACCGCACTTTTTCGTGGGGTAGTTGAAACCGATTTTAAGACAGACTTAGTTGGGGGGGGTGGCGAGCTGAAACGGGCATTCTAGGGGAGCTGGAAGACTTCTGGGGCGTCCCAAGGACTTTGAGAGACTTGGAGGATGTTCGAAGCCACTTTGCGCGGCGCCGAAGGGGGGAGCCCTGAAACGCCTTTTTCCCCGGGGGCGGGGGGGGGACGGCCCGGGAAGCCGGACCCCCTCCCCCCCCGCAGCCGGTGCAGGCGGCGCGACCCGGGAGCCTTTGAAGCTCGCAGCGCGGCCGCCGCCTCGCCCCGCATTAACGCGGAGCAGATGTTCCCCGCGCGCCCCCCCCGCGGCCCGCCCGGCCCCGACCAGCGCCTGCAGCGCGCGGCACCTTCCCCGCGCAGACAAAAGGACGCCCCTCCCGCGCGCTCCCCCCACAAACTCCGGCGCCCGGGCCGGGCCCCCCTCTACCCGAAAAAGGGGGCGCCCCGGGGTCCCCGTGCGCCCGGGTTGGGGGGGGCGGTCCTCGCGCCCAAGTTGCATAGCCCGTCCGGCGCCCCCCGCACCCCCGCCCAGGGCTGCGCAAAGTTTCCCGAAGTGCCCGGCCCGACGGGGGCGGCGCGGGCCTGGCGAGCTCCGGGCCCCTCCACGTCGCCGCCCCCCCGGCGCCGCGCGAAGTTGGAGAACAATGACTCCCGGGCCGCGGGGCGCCCCCCGAGGCTGCCCCCGCTCCGACTTCCTCCGCGACCCCCAAAAACGCGCGCGAGGCGGGACGGGGTCCCCTGGGCACAAAGCGCGGGGGTCCCAGGCGCGCCCCGCGCCCCCCGCCCCCCGCTGGGCTCACCTGCTGGGCGCGGCCGGGCACGCGGCGCGTGGGGGGCGGTGGCATGAAGCGGGGCCCCCCCCGGACAAAGGGGCGTCGCGGCCGGGCCCCCGAGGGTCGCGCGTGGGCGGCGGCGGCGGCGCGCGTGGCCCGGGCCCCTCCCACCCCCGCGTGGCCCGTCCCGCGGGGCCCGTGCGCGCGGCCGGCCGGGGCGCCCCTGGGGCAGCGGCGTTCGCGGTGCCCGCGGTGCCCGCCGCCGCGTCGCTCCGGCCCGCTACGCCCGCAGCCGCCGCCGCTGCCTCATCTTCCTGCGGCGGGAGACATGTTCCGCCCCCCGCCCCGCGACGCCCCGCCCCGCCCCGCGCAGGCCCCGCCTCTGCCCCGCCCCCGCGTGCCCCGCCTGGCGGCCCACGCGGATCCCTCCGCCATCTCCGGGCGGCTCGGGCCCGAACGCCACAGCTGGGCCTCCAGAGCACCCTCGTAAGGACCCCTAATCCCCGCGAGGTCCAGAGCCTGGGAGCGGGGACGCGCAGAGGGGGCGGTCGGGGCACGACGTAGGTAGAAAGCACGAACTATCCCCCTCCGCGGAAGCACACACGAGCTGTGGAGTTAGTCTATTACGCAAGCGAGTAAGGCCCGTGAGATTGAAAGATAAGACAGAACAGTCTGGCCAGTCGAAAGGCGTGAAAGTCTGATGGGCGGGGATCCTAGCCATTCGTGGTGAGTCCCCGCCTCGTTTCTTTTCGGCCCCGCCCCGCGGCAGAGGCGGGACTCTGCGAGCGAGAGGCCGCGAGAAGCGGCGGGGGTGGGTCCTGGAGTTTTGTTCTCAGGTTGGCGTGGCCGCCCGCGCGGCCCCTTCGGCTTGGTTGTATTTGTGTTGATCGGGCCGGCCCTGCGTGCCGAGTGGTGCGAGCGGGTACCCCGGCCCCGAGGGGGCCACGTCGGACCCATTTTCCTGGCGGGAAAACCGAGGCTCGCTCCGGCTCTGGGTCAGAGATCTCCACGGGGAGCCTCCGCAGTGCCTTTGCCGACCCGAGTCGCCGTCTCGGTATCTGTGAATTTGGACCTGACTTTGGACAGAACTCAGGCCAGATCTGGCTTCCTGATTCTTAGTAGTCCGTGTCTACATCTTAGCAAAAAGTGACCCCGCCTAGGGCAGGGCGCGGTGGCTCCTACCTGTGATCCCAGCGCTTTGGGAGGCCGAGGCGGGAAGATCGCTTGAGGCCAGGAGTTCGAGAATAGCCTGAACAACACAGTGAAACCCCCCTATACCCATCTCTAAAAGTTTTTTAAATAATTTAAAATAATAATTTAAAAAGTTGACTGGACGCGGTGGCCCACGCTTGTATTCCCAGTACTTTGGGAGGCCAAGGTGGGCAGATCACCTGAGGTCAGGAGTTCGAGACAAAAATTAGCCGGGCATGGTGGCGGGTGCCTGTAATCCCAGCTACTCGAGAGGCTGAGGCAGGAGAATCGCTTGAACCCGGAAGGTGGAGGTTGCAATGAGCAAGATGGCGCCATTGTACTCCAGCCTGGGCAATAAGAACAAAACTCCGTCTCTAAAAAATAAATAAGTAAAATAAAACAAAAATACAAAAATTAGCTGGGCGTGGTGGCATACACCTATAATCTCAGCTACTTGGGAGGCTGAGGCAGGAGGCGGAGGTTGCAATGAGTGGAGATCGTAGCACTGCACTCGAGGGTAGGTGACAGAACGAGGCTCTGTTTCAAAAAATAAATAACTAAACAAATAAATGAAAATAGCACAATGTCCCAGGGCTCCCTGGGGCCCCAAAGGGAAATGCTCCACTTCCAGCCTGGGAAGATGCCGCTATCTCGCTGGCCCGCTTGGCTCCAGCCATCCCACCCTCTGGATGGTCCAGCACCTGCTAAGCTCATCCCCACCCTGAGCCTCTACATTTGCTGTGCCCTCTACCTGGGAGGCTATTCCCACCCCTATCTGGAGCCCCTGAGTCATCACAGTTCAATGCCGCTCCTAGGCCAGGGCAGCGGGGAGGCAGGGCCACAGGGGCCCCCCACCAAAGCCACAAACCCCTCCTGCTATACACCTGGGCTGTCCACAGTCTGACCCTCTGTGCCCAGAGAGATCCCCACATGCTGCAGGTCTGGGGAGAGGGCTGTGGGTCACGGGGTCTGTGCCGCAATCCCTCATCCCTCTCCACCTCACTCTGACCTCAGGCAAGTTCATGCTACTCTCCGGGCCTCGGTTTCCCCATCTGGACAGTGGAAGGGGGGGCGTTTGGCACAGAGTAGGTGCTCACAGCTGATGCTTGCCTTCCTCAGCCACCCCCACTGAGACACCTCTCCAGAGTGAGGGTCTCCAAGCAGCTCCAATCCCACCCCAGTCTCTTCAGCCCTCAGCCCTCCCCTGTGGCCCAGCCCTGATCCCACGGGTCTGAGGGTGTCTGGGGCCGGGTCTGGCTCTCCCCATTCCAGTGCAGGGGGCTCTTGAAGGCTGGGCTGGAGCCTCACACAATGTGGGCCACTCACATTCTGGGTCCAAGCCATAGTGTGGGAGCCAGAGTCCCCCCAAGGAGCCCTTTAGTTTCACCCGTGGAAGGGAAGCAACCATCCATTCATGGACCAATTATTATTATTATTATTATTATTATTATTATTATTACTGTTATTATTATTTTGAGAAAGTCTCGCTCTGTCGCCCAGGCTGGAGTGCAGTGGTAAGATCACAGCTCACTGCAGCCTTGACCTCCTGGACTCAAACGATCCTCCTGCCTCAAATTCCTGAGTAGCTGGGACCACAGGCACGCACCACCACACCCAGCTAATTTTGTACTTTTTATAGAGACGGAGTTCTCCCTATAGTTGCCCAGGCTAGTCTTGAACTCCTAGGCACAAGTGATCCTCCTGCCTCGGCCTCCCAGAGTTCTGGGATTATAGGCTTGTGCCACCACGCCGGGCAGGACTATTCAATGATTGGGCTCTGACACTGTACGGGGCCTTGCGCTGGGCATTGTAGCACTGCGGATGGTGACGGACCCAGTCCCTGCTGTCCTGGGCAGGATGACCCATCAGGGACACCTTGCCTAGTCCTGAGTGTGACTCTTTCCTGTGAGGTCCTCCCGCCTGTGTGGTTCCACCTATTGTACAGATGAGGAAACTGAGACTCAGAGATCTCCTCCCTGGGTCCCAGGACACCCTGGGGCTCATGCCTGCCAGGAGGCTCTGCCGGCAACCACAAGCCACCATTGTTTTCCCCGAGGAGGTCTGTCCTGGGGCTGAGTCACTGGGTGGAGCAGCCAGTGGGGGCCCCCACTCGGCCACCACCTCTGCCCAGCCCCGAGGCCTGGGTGCTCCCGCCAAGGCCCTGGCACCGGGACAGGCAGCGAGCCATCCTCCTGACTGTGGCCTTTGTTCTGCTCTGGGGCTGGGCAGGAGGAGAAGCGGGGCCTCTCCACCTGCCGCGTGTTCCCTCCACACCTACTGTGTGCGCCCTCACCAACATGAACCACGTTATGTGAGAAAAACTGAGGCCAAGGACAAGTTCCCACTAGGGAACGGGAGACACAGGAGCGGGGCGGACGGGGGGCGATGGTGAGGCTTCCGGAGACAGACACAGTAGGTGTGCAGGCCACAGCCGTCCACAGAGAGAGTGGGCTTGGATTAGGACTTCGGGGCCACCCTCCAGATTTCTGTTTCCATTTGTCCCTAAAGTGGGGAGACCTTTGACTTCCCCCAGGGTGTGAACAAACTCCCCCCACATCCAGCGCCCTCCAGCAGGGCGGAGAAGGGAGTGGCGGCCCAGCTCTTATCACCGGTGTCAGGCCCCGGCACAAACCTCACTCCCCCAGCACAGACCTCACTCCCCCGGCACAGACCTCGCTCCCCCGGCACAGACCTCGCTCCCCCAGCATAGATCTTGCTCCCCCAGCACAAACCTCGCTGCAGCATCCACGGAGTGCCAGCAGCTGGGGTGATCGGTGTTGCCTTCCAAGGTGGGGGCTTCCTGCTCCCGCTCAGACCCCCAGCAAGGGGCTTGATCCCAACACGACTAGCTCAGGACCAACCCATAGAGCCCTGGACTGGGACTTGGCCAGGGTAGGGCCCATTCCCTTATTCTCCCTGACTTCATTTTTAATTTATTTTTAATTTTTTAATTTTTTTTGAGACAGAGTCTCGCTCTGTCTCCAGGCTGGAGTGCAGTGGTGTGATCTCAGCTCACTGCAACCTCCGCTTCCCGGGTTCATGCCATTCTCCTGCCTCAGCCTCCTGAGTAGCTGGGATTATAGGTGCCCACCGCCACGTCTGGCTAATTTTTGTATTTTTTTGTGGAGACGGGGTTTCACTATGTTGCCTAGACTGGTCTCGAACTCCTGGCCTCAAGCGATCCTCCTGCCTTGGCCTACCCAAAATGCTGGGTTTACCAGCATGAGCCACCACGCCCGGCCCCATTCTTCCTGCCTTCTGG